TTCCAAGAAGACAATCTTGGAATTCAGTCTTTGATTTGATTATCCTGTGATGGTGCCCATGAGTAGCATTTGTGCCCCTTGATATCTAGCAGGCTCCCTGAGCCTTCAAATGTAAGTTGTTGTTTTTAAAAAAAAAAGGGCATAGGAAGTTTATGTGCTACTTACAAAGCAAAACATCAGCCTTCAGCATCATCTTGAGTCGAAGAAACATGGTGGGATTCTACAGAATTCCTCTGGGAAGGTAGCTCTCTTTCTGATAAGTGGATATTTATAGCTATACCTGTCATTTTTGTATCTAGGGTAAGTCTGCACTCACTTCTTGCTCTGAAGTTTTTGAATGTGTTTCCAGTCTAAAAACAACAATTAGCCTTAAATTATGCAGTTAGTATAGACCAAGGGTGTCAAAGGCAAGGCCTGGAGGCCAGATTCGGCCTATAGGGTACTTTGATCTGGCCTACGGAAACAGTGAAGGGCCTGCAGTGCTTCTTCCAGTGAAAACAGGCTCCCGAGCTCCGTTTTCATTGGCAGAAGGTTGCAGGAGGCTTGGCAGCCGAAAACGGAGCTCAGAACCCGTTTTCGCTGGCAGAGTGCTTGGGCCGCCACAGGCTCCCTCGACAGGATGGCCACGCCCACCCTGGTCACACCCACCACAGCCCTCTGAGGTCAAATACAACCCTGATGTGGCCCTCAATGAATTCTACTTTAACACCCCTGCTACAGAGCATGATTACTACACAGCATTGTCTGGGATAGTGTTGCGGTAACATAATAGTAATCTCATTATTGCAGTGGCAATAATACTGGGGATTTCTTTCTGTGAACAACTATCCAGATGTTTGAAGGCTGCAGCTCCTCTCCATAGGGATTTTGTTCTAATAATTTCTTTGTGGTTGAGAAACTGAAGGAAAGATTGGCTGCTTGGCAGTGGAAATGAAATCCTTGCCATGGAAGCTGGTACCCCGCTTTCCTCTTGGCCAGTTTACTGCCCTCTTGAACTTCCTCAGTGGACTGTATTTTGAGAGCTTGATTTAAAAAACTGATATTTCTAAAAATTCTTGTTGTGGGCAGGGCTATTTTGGCTATGTAAGCAGTAAATCATCAGTTTAACTGTCATGAAAGAGAGAGAGGGAGGGAGAGAGGATAATGGAAATGGCTGGTGAACCAGACCAGTGATTCAAAAACTTTTACTACTGATTCTGTGGACGTGGCTTGGTGGGTGTGGTGTGGCTTGGTGGGCATGGCTCGGTGGGCATGGCAGGGGAAGGATACTGCAAAATCCCCATTCCCTCTCCACTCCTGGGGGAAGGATACTGCAACATCCCTTCCCCACCCCACTAATCTGCTTTCCAGCTCCTTTCACCTGTTTAGGGCAACAAAAGAAGACCCAGCTGATCAGCTGGTACTCTGGAGGCAAAGAATAGATGGGGGCGGGGCCAGCCAGAGGTGGTATTTGCTGATTCTCCGAACTACTCAAAATTTCTGCTACCGGTTCTCCAGAACCGGTCAGAACTGGCTGAATGCCACCTCTGCACCAGACCCATCTTCTACAAACATCCCAACTATTCTTCTTTTGATTATTTCAATCTAGTTTAATATATAGGATGTAATAATAGTTTCTCTAAGCTTACTTTGGGGCTGTAGCGGAGAGATTGTATACTCTTTATTTTGCTTTCTAATTCATTGATTTTTTTTATGGCCGATATTAAATTGCTGTAAATTGGATGATTTACTGCCCATTTTATGCAATTTTATGGCAGAAACTTTTAGAGGACCAGAGACGGCTTAAACGTGAGCAAGAAGAGGCTGATATTGCAGCCAGAAGGCACACGGGGGTTATTCCTACGCACCATCAGTTTATCACTAATGAGCGCTTTGGGGACCTTCTAATTAGAGACGATACAATCAAAAGGAAATCTGGGGCAGAGGTCTGTTGTGGTTGCCTCACTCTGCTGCTTGATCCAATTCATAGCTGCTTCTCATAGCATTCTGCTTTTTTGGCCAATGTTTAGCTGTCCCAAGTGTTGATTTTATTTTCACTTAGAACCTGCTTCGACCATGTTCTACATAATCCTGCAGAAAACCTGCGCCTTTTAATGCATGTCTGCTAAGTAAGGAATACCTGGGCCCAACTGTGATGCATGCCTCTTTTAAAGCAGCAGTTATTTTTATGGCAAATCTGCAAACATTTGCTTCATCTTTTTGCACTGTATAGAATGCTTCCTTCTCTCTCTATCTGTGCCATCCGCTTAGACGTCTAATTGTCTTGTGGCGCCTGAACATGCAGTTTGGTTATGCATTGTGCATCCCTAACATCGGTTCTTTCTGTAGTTCCTGTTGTTAAGAATCTTGAGGGTCAGGCAAAATAAACTTGTTGTAAAAAAAAGGCAAAAGAAAGAGCTGACTCTGCAAAGATTCCTATGTTAAGAGATTAAGGCAGTGATGGTGAACCTTTTCGGCACTGAGTGCCTACACCAGAATGCACGTGCACGTGTGCACTGGAGCACTGGAAACCCAAAGACCAGCTGGCCAGTGCGCAGGCCTGCTTTTTGACCGTTTTTGGGACCATTTTCAGACTGCTTTTAGGCCAAAAAAATGGGCTGAAAATGGCCCCACAAATGGGCTGAAAGCAGCCCGAAAAGCAGCCTGAAAACAGTTCAAGAAACAGTCCAGAAAACAGCCTGAAAAATTGTCTTTTTTTGGCCATTTGTTGGGCTGTTTTCAGGCCATTTTCTGGTGCTCCAGTGCCTGCAAAGACCATCTGGCCGGCACGCATATGCACACCAGAAAGCAGAAGAGCAGCTGGCGATGGCACATGAGCCCACAAAGAGGGCTTTGCGTGTCCCCTCTGGCCCGTGTGCAATAGGTTCACCATCATGGAATTAAGAGATCCACTTGCCTTCGCTGGAAGTGAGGGTGACAAGACAGCCATGCTTTACATAAAAATGTATTTATCTTTCCGGGGGGGGGGGGGAAGATCCCTGTCTTTATTTCTTCCTGCCACTCATTCCAGGTGATCAGGAACAAAAGTTCTGGAGAAATTCTCAGGAGGCTTCCACTGCACTCATAGAGTGTTGTGTGTTGCCTGGCTTCTCTGGGTCCACCAAGCTACGCATTCCGCATCCCAGAAGGCCATTTCATTCTATGGATCATGTTTGTAACTCAGACCGTTGCTTTCTGGAGTAGGATGGTCAGAGTTCAGTTGATCACTGCCTCTCCATTTAGGAGAGTCTAACCATTCACTCAGGTGGCTCAGTGCTAAGATGCTGAGCTTGTCGATCAGAAAAGTCGGCAGTTCAGCGTTTCGAATCCCCAGTGCCCCGTAACCGAGTGAGCTCCCGTTATTCGTCCCAGCTTCTGCCAACCTAGCAGCTCGAAAGCACATTAAAAATGCAAGTAGAAAAATAGGTACCACACAAACAGTGTTTGTGTGCCTTCAGCATTGAGTCATACCGCCCACATGACCACGGACACATCTTTGGACAGCGCTGGCTCTTCAGCTTAGAAACAGAGATGAGCACCGCCCCCTAGAGCTGGAAACAACTAGCACACATTGCGGGGGAAACTTTACCTTAGCCATTCACTCAAACATATCTAATTTTCTTAGTTTTTTTCCCCCTTTACTTTTGATAAGGGCTACAAATTGTTCAGTTGTGGTATTCATTTTGATTCTGCTAATTTTACAAACTTGCTGGAAAGACTGAAGTCGAGCTCCCTTGAAAAGTCTAGTTCCCTTATTTTAGTAGTAAACCTACTAGGTCTTGTAGGAAGGTTTAACCACTCTTAGTTGCTCAAGAATTGGGACTAGATTCACCACACATTTAAGAAAGGAAAGTCTTGACAGTGTGCTCATAATGCTGTGTATACCCTTTCAAACGATGTTCTGAAGATTTGGCAATTTTTTAAAATTGTACTATTTTCAACCACTAGATGAGAGCTGCCAGAGTGAAGTTTGACTTCAAAGCCCAGACATTAAAGTGAGTATTGGTTATTCTCAGTTATTCTGACCAAGGGAATGCATGCAACTGTCCATTGACCATCATTGCTCCAGCATTACTCCTTCACTGAATGGCGCAGTAGCTTCTCTGTCCTCTTTAATGTCCTATCATGACCTGCCATCTTTATACAGCTTCCACCCTTTCCATCATGTAATGCCATCTTCAAGCTGTTTGTTCCATTTGCCATCTCCATCTCCTTCTTTCTCTTAAAACCTTCTCCAGATGCAATTTCAGTTCCACTTCTAATTCCTCCAGTTTCAAATCCATTAATTTCATGAACTTCTTTCACTTCTCTTCTGACCAAGCATCCATCTCTTCACCATCCCAAGATCTCCCAGTCTTTAAATACTGCCCAATGTAATCTGTTCTTTAGAATTTGGGGACAGATATTTATGTTTGTTTCTCCAGTTATATGAGGGACATGGTGGCTCAGTGGCTAAGACGCTGAGCTTGTTGATCAGAAGGTCGGCAGTTCAGTGGTTCGAATCCCTAGCGCCACATAACGGAGTGAGCTCCAGTTACTTGTCCCAGCTTCTGCCAACCTAGTAGTTCAAAAGCACATAAAAAATGCAAGTAGAAAAATAGGGAACATTTTGGTGGGAAGCTAACAGTGTTCTGTGCACGTTCAGCGTTTAGTCATGCTGGCCACATAACCACGGAGATGTCTTCAGACAGTGCTGGCTCTTTGGCTTTGAAACGGAGTATAAGATGTACCGGAGTACAACACGCAGCAAGGTTTTGAAGAGGAAATTTAAAAAAAAATTTTTTTTGCACTCCCCAAATTGGCCCGTTTGTGAAAACGGGCCCATTTTTAAAAAAAACAAAGGGCACGAAGAGTGCTACCGGGGGGGAGGGGAACCGAGCAAAAAACAGGCTGTTTTTCACGTAAACGGGCCCATTGTTTGTCAAAAAAGGGCATGGATAGCCTTTATGGAAAGGGCATGGAAGCTTATAGAGTGCTGCTTGGGGGGGGGGGCAAAAAACAGTCCATTTTTGCTCATTTCGGCCCTCTCCAGCGCCCAGGAGCTCTCTGAAAGCCTTCTAAAACTATGCACGGCCATTTTGGTGAAGGGGTGGAGTTTTGGGAGACAAAAATGCTGTATTCAGTGTATAAGACGCACCTAGATTTTCAGCCTCTTTTTTGAGGGAAAAAGGTGCGTCTTATACTCCGAAAAATACGCTATGTGCAAGGGGAACCTTTACCTTTACCTCCAGTTATGTTCTCAACTTATTAATATTTGTATTGTAATGTGATATTAATGAGATCTTATTAAAATAATTCACACATGAATTAATATGTCATTCACAGGGAACTCCCATTACAGAAGGGCGATATTGTTTACATTTATAAGCCGATTGATCAGAACTGGTATGAAGGCGAACACCATGGCCGAGTGGGCATCTTTCCGCAATCTTACATAGAGGTACTATTTTGTTTATTAAGCTACCCAAGGTGTCAGGACTGGTCAAGGCTGACACAAGATCAAAACCATCTGTCTTCTTTAAGTTTTTTACATATGCCTTTTGCTTTTTTTTTTAGTTACTTAACCCAACAGAAAAAATCCAAACTAAAAAAACGTCATCCTTGCAAATCTTGGAATATGGAAATGCAATTGCCAAATTCAGTTTCAGTGGAGATACTGCTGTGGAAATGTCCTTCAGGAAGGTAGAGTTATAGCAGTTATTGGAAACCATTTTGAAGTATTTCTTTCTCTCATTGTCTCTTTTACTTGTTCATCTTCCATCTTAATACTTAACAAAGAGTGGTATATTTTCTTGATTAATTTTTCATCTGTCTCTGTTAATATCTGATCTAATTGTTTACTTAAGCAATTAACATTTTAACAACCTTCTCATATCTAGATTGTTTCTTCACATATGACCACCATGTTATCTCAATCCCTTTCTCATGCAATCTACTGACATAGCAAGAACACTTAGACTTATATACCGCTTCATAGTGCTTTTACAGCCTTCTCTAAGCAGTTTACAGAGTCAGCCTATTTCCCCCAACAATCTGGGTCCTCTTTTTACCCACCTCAGAGGGATGGAAGGCTGAGTCAACCTTGAGCCGGTGGAATTTGAACTGCTGAACTGCAGCTAGCAGTCAGCTGAAGTAGCCTGCAGTACTGCACTCTAACCACTGTGCCACCTCGGCTCTTAACATTATTTCTTCCTCATGCAATCTACTGACAATCAATTCAATTGCAAAGCATAGCAAATGGATGTTCTAAGAAGCAGATTGAAAATTTTAAAAAGTTTAAAAAGATACTATGCACAGGGGTTTTCTAAAAACGGAAGGTTTGAGGTTTGTTGTCACATAATGTGAACTCCAATGCAACANACGTAAAATGCAATTAGAAAAATAGGGACCATCTTTGGTGGGAAGGTAACAGCGTTCTGTGTGCCTTCAGCGTTTAGTCATGCCAGCCACATGACCACGGAGACGTTTTTGGATAGCGCTGGCTCTTCTGCTTTGAAACGGAGATGAGCACCGCCCCCTAGAGTCGGGAACGACTAGCACATATGTGCGAGGCAAACCTTGCCTTTAACTTATGAGGTGCCTTGAGCAGTTCTCTTGGGGTACCAGAATATTTCTGTCTAGATATTTTGTTTAATAATTTGCTGTTAGTTGCTGAGAAAATATGTTTTCCCTCTTATGTATCAGCTGCCATCCTGTAAAAAAAGAGTTGGAAACAGAATTTGGACATTCCACTGGGCTGGGAAATGAAAGACTGATTTATAAAAGTGTTTTGGAAGGAGGAGATATCCCCTTGCAAGGGTTGAGTGGCTTGAAGCGTCCATCCAGTTCAGCATCCACAAAAGGTAAAGGTGAACATTGTTGTGATCAAACTGTAAAGAGTAAATGCATAGCATGGTATTGCACTTATACCAAGATTCCACATGTCATAATTCAAATACAAGCTTGAATATTTTTGCATTTAACAGCAGCTTGCATAAAAGAAAGGATGATGAGATCACAGATCTTTGACTCATTATCATATGAATCCTTAATATTGTGATCATGATCAAACTGTCATTAACTTGGAGCAGGGGTTGACAACACTCAAAGAGCCACAAAGGTCCTAACTGGAAGCCCCCTGTTCAATTCTGGAGCTGGACTTCAGAAGTCCAGTTTCCCCACCATAGAGTCTCCTCCTAGCACGGCATCCTTTTTCCTCTACCTGTTCTAAAGCCCTATCAATTGTGGAACTCACTGGAAAACCCGCCCCTTGCCATAGAGTCTCCTCCTGGCATGCCCTGCTCCCCCCCACAAACCAGAAGCTCCTCTCAAAATTGTGGTGCCAACTGGTGACAGGGAGCTGCAGAAGAGGGATGAAAGAGCCACATGCGGCTCCAGAGCCGCAGTTTGCTGACCTCTGATTTAGAGTGTGCTGACTAAATCATTTCTCCTCCTTGGTTTGGTGTCACAGCATTAGTGAGACTTTTGTGATTGGAAATCTGTGAGACTTCTGTGATCAAAAATTCATTTTTTTCAGAAGGACCAGAAGCAATAGCAGTGGAAGATGAATTGCTTTCTGTGTTTTTGTTTTAAATAGCCTCTGTTCAGAAATCCAAGTTTATGAGGTTAAATCTCGACATCCAGAATAATTCATCCAGAGTTTTGAAAGAACATTTTGATGTTTTGCCAAAACCATCAAACTTTATAAAGTTTATCAAATATATTCCCAAGATTATATGAAGTGCTGGGTGACATTAGGAAAGCTAATGTTACCTCCATTTTGAAGAGAAGAAAGAAGAGAATTTGGAAACTACAGAAGGGACCTTCTAGAGCAGATCCTAAAGTCTGCAAGTAGCTTGGAAACAATGTGAATATTACCAGATGTTGGTAATTGGTCTGTCAAAACAATTTTTTGCCAAGCCAATTTTATTCAGTTTTAAATGAATGACTTCCATGATAAGTTTATGGGACAATTTGAGGCCTCGAGGGGTTTGCTTTAGCGAAGCATTTGACAACATTCCCATGCCATCACTTGTTAACAAGCTACTTCATTCTCTCTTGGAGGGCAAGACAATTACGCTGGTGCAGAGCTGGTGCAGGGTTCTTATTCTGAGTTCTCATCCATCTCTTCTCACCTAGTTCTAGAGAAGAAGCAAGTGAAACGTCAGAAAATTTGTCCCTGGCCTTCTGGGTTTTATAAGTGAGTTGGATGAGAAGCTGTCATGGATGTTCAGCAGATTATAGATCACATAATCCAATGAGATAGTTAATGTCTTAAAAATCAAAATTCAAAATGAAGATAAAATTCATTATTCTTTGACTAAAAATAACATGAAACACAAGGGATTTTTTTATTACGGGAACAAATTGTATTTTTTAAAAAATTATACATGTATTCTATTGCCACCTATTTAATAGTTTCTAAATGGCTTAGAGTTATATCAAATGTTTATTGAAATATTACCCTGTTTTCCCCAAAATAAAGACCCAGCCAGAAAATAAACCTAGCATGATTTTTCAGGATGCTCATAAAATTGGAGCAGTTTTAGTATACATTCCACTTTATGGAGTTTACAAAAAGAGATTTGCATCAGGTAAGAGGGAAATGTCTGCACTGCTCACATCCCTTCTTCCAAATGCAAAGCTTTTACTATTCCACTTATTTTTTGGTCATGTTTCACTAACGGGAAAGTAGAAAGCTGTGAAAACTTCTACAGTTTATTAATTAATTGCAAGAAAAAGATTGTGCTGAAAGTAAGCCACAAGCATCCAAAAGAGGGAAAGGACTTTACCAAGCAGTCACAAAATCACACATCAAGTCAATCAAAGTGGACTCCTGTTGGAAGATATTTGATTTTGTAGTGTGAAAGGAATCCCAGTTTGAGGTTGACTGAAAGAAAGAAGGGAATCTAGCCTAATTGGAAGACTTTGGAATAGAGCCCCAAGCATACTTTCTCTTAACTTGCTGCATTTATATGATATTAACTCTTCAATACTTGCAGATTTTTTAAAACAGAATTGGCACAAAAGGATATTGCCAATTTAGCTGTTACCTCATCCCAATCTTGTAACAATATTAAGGGTATAACAAGAGCAGGCGTTGGATTCAGCTGGTTCGGACCAGTTCGAGGGAACTGGATGCTAATTTTACAATTTATGCCAAGGACTGGCTGGCCCTGCCCACCCCTCCTCTCCCAGGAGTCTCCAGGTGGCCTGTTTTGGATGACACATAAGTGCAGGGCCCGCACGGAGGCCCTGGGAGGACAAAAAATGGGCTTCTCTGAAGTTCTGGATGTTTGGAAACGGGCCTATTTCTGGCCTCTGGAGGTCCTCTGGAGTCCAGGAGATGATGTTTTTGCCCTCCTGGTGGCTCAAGGAAAGCCTCCAGAGCCTGGGGAGGCCCACAGAGCAACTCTCTAAAAAAATTTGATTCCCACCATTGAACAAGGGAGATGGCTAGGAAAAGAGTCTGCCAAAGGAAATACCAGCTTCCTCGAAATATCTTGTGAGTCCATCAGTGCAGTTTCCTCAGCTATGCCTAAGAAATCCATCATTGTCCAGACTTGCCCTCAGTCAAGCAGGAAAACATGGGCAAGCACTAAAGAAAAAAAAATCTCCACTCCCAAATGTCTCTTCTGTTCAGATAATTGTCATAAGATGAGCCATTTTCTGAATCTTGAAACTCAGCCAAATTACTCTGTTTTTGTTTGGACGTTGCAAATGTGTTTGGTAATTTTCCTTTTGCTTCCTAATACAACTCCAACATGATCAAGAACCCCCTCCCCCTTCCAAAGAAACTCAGGACATACTCTGGGTGCGGTATTTGGATGTACTTTACCATTTCTACCTCTTTTTCCTTTCCTGGTTTTTTTTTTTTTAATCCCCCTCTACTGTGTTCGTTCTTTTCCTTGTATGTCCTGTCCTGCTTACATTTCAGGACTTGGCTCAGCTACTGAGAAATCATTTCTGCTATCCTTCTAATCAACATCAAAGCAGTTTGTCCCAAATGCCATCATTTAGAAGGTGATATATTTATGGAAACCAGCTTAAAACCCTTGTAATTTGCATCATCCCTAAGGAACAACATTAATAAACCCAACGTCTAGGAACGTTTTTTTTTCAATTCTTGTGAAGTATCTGTTTTATGTTCATCCATCTATCTATCAGGGACGCGGTGGCTCAGTGGCTAAGACGCTGAGCTTGTTGATCAGAAAGGTCGGCAGTTCGGCGGTTCGAATTCCTAGCGCCCTATAATGGAGTGAGCTCCCGTTACTTGTCCCAGCTTCTGCCAACCTAGCACGTGAAAGCACGTAAAAATGCAAGTAGAAAAATAGGAACCACCTTTGGTGGGAAGGTAACAGTGTTCTGTGCGCTGTCGGCATTTAGTCATGCCGGCCACATGACCACAGAGGTGTCTTTGGACAGCGCTGGCTCTTCGGCTTTGAAACAGAGATGAGCACCGTCCCCAAGAGTCGGGAAAGACTAGCACATGTGTGCGAGGGGAACCTTTACTTTTACCTTACACATCTATCTGTATATGTATGGGTGAGTGTATATGTGTCAGTATTATTGCATGCAGTTAAGCACCTTTCCTCAGCAACATTAAATGATAATTGCTGAATAGAAATTCTTTTTTTTAATGAGTGTTTTGATGGGCTTAATCATTGTTCTTTAAATTTGTTCCCACAGTAGTTTGTTTGCTT